GTTAAGTTTTGGGGCCGGGGAGATGGCTCAGTGGAATAAGTGCGTCCCTGGCAAGTGCAAGGGCCTGAGTTCAATCCCCGGTTCCACAAAAAAAAAAAAAAAAAAAAAAAAAAAAAAAAAAAAAACACCTATGGTCACTTCTCTCACAGGGACAAGTGAGCTGAACAAGGAAATAAGACATATTTATAATGGACTGCGATGGTTGCTGGGAGGAAGAAAACGTCAAGGTGCATGGAAGCCTTGGTGGGCAGGAAGGCTTCTTGGAGAAGACTGCATGGAGTGTTGGGAGGTGGAACTAGGTAGGCGGCCGGGGAAGGAGGAGAAAATGCTTCAGGTAGGAGGGATGCAGGTCCATCCCCTCAAGGACGTGACATATTCCAGAGACTGAAAGTGACACTGGGTGTGAAGTAAGGGGAATGTGTGCTCAAGAGCTGCCATGAGACTGTAGGCTTAGGGAGTAAACAGAGGATTTGTCCAGGAGAGATTTACCCAAGAGACAGTAAGAGTAATGGAAAGGAAACAAAAGACATGCCATGTATGATTTGGGTTTTCTTTATTGCATTTTAAAGTTATAATTATTTTTATTAGTATATCTTTGCTGTCCATAAAAATCCTCATTCTATTAATGTCCCCTTTCCCTCCTCCCTCCTCTGCTCATCTGAGGCTGTGAGGGGGGTGGAAGCTAAGGGGCAAGATGGAGTCAGAGGTGGAGAGTAGACAAAAAGCCATGTGATCTTGAATCGGAGGCACAGAGGTGGAAATGGAGATGGGAAGGAGCACGGTAGGCAAAGGACTTGGGTGCATTTGGAGATAGCAGAGAGTGAGAGGGAAAGGATGCCAACAAGAGCGACTCCATCCAGGGGAGGTGGTAAACGTAAGAGAAATACATTGCAATGAATAAAATGATCTTAGTTGGAGCAAAGGTGAAGATGAATCTGTTTCTGATATATTCAAGTGGAGAATTAGGCACAGAAGTCATGAGAAAAGGAAGGAGGGACAGGTTTGGAATCCATCAACCTGTAGAAGATTACTGACAAATTCTTGGGGTCAATTCAAAGGTACTTTTTTCTTTAATTTTGATTTTTCCAGGCCCTACTTCATGTAAGACTGATCTTCTTGATACTTACTCTCTGTTCACCTTATCAGTCATTCTCCACCCTCTTCAGCACATTTAACTGTAATAAACGTCAAGTTTCTTTCTACAGTTTGAAGAAACTTATGCTGAGTTACAAAAAGAAAGAAAAAGAAAGGGAGAAGAAGAAGGAAAAAAGAACAAAGAACAATCCAACTTGCCAGTTCACACATTTAGCAGGCATGTGTTACGGGCCTCCCCCCACCCCCGTTTCAGCACATGAAGGTCAGGTACTGCAGAGACAGTGGTCACTTCCGATGCTGACAAGCAGGTTGGAAAGGTGTGCCTGAAGTCAATGATTAACTAAATTAACGAATAACCATATCCAGTAGTACACGCTCTGAAGTGAACAACAGCTATAAAATCTTGCTAGGTGAAGGGTAGTCCATGGGCTGGCAGCCTCAATACCGCTGGGGAGCTTGTTAGAAAGGCATAATCTCGGAATCCACCCAGGAACCACTGAGATCAGATCTACGTTTTAACAAGATCCCTGGGGATTTGCATGCCCATTAAAATTTGAGAAGTACTACTCTGGAGTTCATGGGGTTGTCTCAGACAACAACAGGTGGGCCTGCGTTCATCTTCTGGGTCAGGGAAAGGGTCCCTGAAAAACTGGCTTCTGATTGGGCCAGGGAGGCAGCAGAGGCCAAGTGGTAGCCAGCCCATAGGACTCCATCATGTGCCTGAGAGCAGCTTCAAGGTACTTAAAGGCTGTAGTAGTCTGCTCAGGCTGTCGTTTTAAATGCCATGAACTAGATGGCTTTCAGCACCCAAATTTATTCCTTCTCAGTTCTGGAGAGCTATCTGTGATCAGGGACCATGTAGTCCACTTCTAGGGAGGGCTTTTCCTGGCCAGCAGAGGGCCACCTCTTAGCTGTGTCCTCCCAGGACAGGGAGAGAAAGAGCCCTCGCTCTGGAATCTCTTCTAAGAACATTAATTCCAACCCAAAGCCCCCATTCTCATGACCTCACCTAGACTCAATCACTGCCCAAAACCCTGTCTCCAAATACCATCACCTCAGTGTTATGACTTCAACATCTGAATTTAGGGATGGGAGACACAATTCTATAGTAAAAGTGGAACAAATAAGATTTCCATGTATGAAATTGTACTCCGGCTGAAATGTGGGGAAGAGCTTGGATGGAATCTAAAATACGTTTCAGAACACCAGCTCAGAAACTAGCTCAATGCAAGCAGTTAAAGACACTCATAGCCTGGACAAAGCTGGGTAGAGAGAGAAAGCAGAGTGAAACATTTAAAAATATTTAGGGGGTAACCTGAACAGACCCTGGCAGAGTCATTCAAATGGTGTTGAGGGAAAAGAGCTGAGAAATTCTGCCTGGCTTTTAGCTTGTGCACTTCAATAAAGATGACACGAATTCTTGAGATAAAAATCATGAAATCAACACACTTGGGCGTGGCATCTATAAGAACAGCTATCATTTGGGGGCACTTACCATGCTCCAGTGACTGTGTAGATGTCTTGTATGCATTAGCTTCATTACCGGAGGACACAAACCTTGCCTTCTGAGATGAAAGAGCAACTCAGGCAAGGCAGCTCCAAAAGACTGTGACAGTAAAAATATTTTTCTTGATTTTAATTTTTTACCAGTACACGTTTTCGGTGCATAGTGATCACATTCCTCTTGGGGGAGTCTGTACCAGGACATATCACACCTTCCTTATTTTTTATCCCCCTTTTCTTCTCTTCCCAGCCTCTTCCTTTATCTCTTTGTTTCCTTAGCATTTGCCAACCTCTACCTCCACACTTATTATCTACATTTATTTTGATTTTTATTTATATTTTTGGCTTCTCCTATGAGAGATACCATGTTGTATTTAAGCATATCTATAGATTTATTTTACTTAATATTACATTAAGGATTTAAAGTGGTCCGGCATGCTGAATAGTTCAGAATACTTTGAAGAACTTCAGAGAAGCTAATGTGGACAAGGAAGAAAGGAGTTGTAAACTGAGGCCTCCAGGTTAACGATGGTAGAAACAGGCGTGGAAGTGGAGAGAAACGAGACTCGATTGGCAAGTTTCCTTAGGGAAACAGTGAGGACCAAATTGCAAAGGACCTTGAAAGTCTATAATTTGGATTTTATAGAGGGAAGGGTTTGAGTAGAGAAGGAACATGACTCTACAAGACTCAGTAAAACCTGTCTGGCAACAGGGAAGCTTGGAGTTTGGAGGCTGCAATCCCAGAGGCCATTAATTAGTGTCAATGCAGGCAATGGGTCAGAGCTCTGAGTTAGCTTGGAGGAAAATGCAAGAAGCCTCCCTTTCTTGGTATGAGAATGGAGGTTAAAGGGAACTGGACTTTTAAGACTAAGATTACAGGATTAAAATTTGAAATTCAGATCAGAGGGACCTAGAGAAGAGGAGAATCATACAACTTGGGTCATCCATACACAGGCAGTACAATATTATGTATATGGTATGTTAAGATAATTCTCTACCTGTTTGAGTACAAAGCTAATTTAGATTTCTAGAATATTATGCTAGATGAAAGGCTGAAAGTTATGATATTCAAAGGATTTACAGTGGAAAGAGAGCATTGCTAATTATAAAAATTGAGGGGACTAAAACACAGTATTCTTTTTTTTTAATGTCCTCAAATATACAAAGCATTGTGTTTTATAAGATACAACTAGTAAAATGAAATCACAAAGTCGCACCCCATTACTTCATTCCAGATGCAATAAGCAGTTACTTATAAGAAAAATAGCGTTGGGTTCAACCTTTCCAATGAATATGGGCATTGTCCCCAACTGAGTCTAGCTGTGGAAGCACAACACTTAATTTTCAAATACAAAATGTTGTGTTTATGGGAGGGAAAATGTGCACTCATTTTTTCTAAATGTCATGCGTTCTTGTTTTCAAAGCATGCAGAAATGCTCTTGACTAGAAAAAATAAATAAGCAACCCTTAGCAACCTTTCAATTTTTCTTCTCCTGCTTTGTCTCAGGGACCCCAGTGCCTCCTAAAACATCCTTTGAGGAGTGACACCTGATTGTGCCCCTGGAATCACATGCCGTGTGTGTTCAGCAGTAAATACCTTCCTATAATCGTAGCTCCGTTAATGACAATGTGGGCCAGCGCAAGGTATGTACCAAGTGGCATCTAAGACGGTTAGGGCGCGCCTAATCCTCCTGTGCGTGTCTGCCAAGAGCCGCAAGGGTAATGTATAGCTATCAATTGTTTTGTGCAGCATTCTCTAACTGAAGTCCTCAGTGGTCTGCAAACCTAGATGGAAGATATATTATGAGCTACAGTAATTAACCGTAGTAATAACAGATGTCGGACAGGAAAACTGTGTGCCGGGGCTACAAATAGGTCCTGATTGTGAATATGTACTTGGCTAAAACATTCTTTCCCAGGCACAGAAATCGTATATAAATGTTTCGTAAGCTATCATTTTCCATGGCAGGCCTTGAATTGTTAAAAAAAAA